GAGCCTGAACCTGGACAGCTCTGGGATGCAGCCTATGCAGTTGACGCATCCGACACCGGGCAGCTACTGAAGCTTCAAGCTGAACATCACCAAGATGCTCTACGTGTTGTTCAACGACTGCATCGGAATCTCGGTCATCCAGCCCCGGAAGTCCTTGCAGATCTTTAAATTTGTCGGCCGCCAAGGAGTACAAGTGTGTAGCTTGCTTGGAGCACAAGAAGCCTAACCAGGTGGCTCCATCACCTGCGCCACAACCAAAGAGCTTCAACGACACCATCCAGGCCGACGTCTTCTACTTGAAGCCAGCAGATCGGAAATTCTCAGTCCTTAGCATTGTGGATGTTGGCACGAAGTTCATGGCAGCTTGCCTGCTGTTGGAAGAGACCTCCGAGTCCTATGTGAAGGCCCTAGAGAAGGTCTGGTTGCGCCACTACGGTCCTCCTCGCATCTTGGTCACCGACGAAGGGAGGCCATGGTTGGTGGCGCGTTCGAAAACTGGACCAGCGCTCTCGGCATCGATCATCAAGTCGCCCCTGGAGAGGCTCACGAGAGACTTCTTGCTCTCGTTGAACGAAGACATGCAGTCCTTCGACGTGCCTGTGAGGTGTACATGTCTGATCGTAAGCTGGTTGACTCACATGGAGTGAAGGAGGCCCTGAACTACGTGGTTCCTCAACAGTCAGAATGCCACTCCATCCGTGGCTGGGTTCACTCCGAGTCAATGGGTTTATTTACCAACCGGAAATGTCTCATCTCCTGGACTCCAACCTCAATGCTGCTCAGCTAGCCGGGATCAACATCGACGCATTTCAGCACGGCTGGCTCTCACAAGTGCAGACGCAGACTCCAAACTCCAACGAGCCTTGAGCCGGAAGTACCAGGGTCAGAGCCGCATTTTCCGACTTGGAGAACGTGCTTGGTTCTGGCGAGACGCCCGACAGAGTGCCCTCAACAAGATTCGTTGGCATGTGGGCCATGTTCGTGGCGACATCCTTCCTCAGCATGTGTTGGATGATTTGCAAGCATCCCTCAACGTCCGACAGCTCAAGTCTCGTGGTGCCACTCACTACTACGACCTCCGCCGGGTCAATCGACAACAACTGGAAGATGTGGAAGAGGATGAACAATGATGACCGTGACGGGTCCCTTCATGATGATCCTGACGAACCACCTCGTCACCGTCTTTGTCTGGAGGTTGCTGAAGCGCCGACCACATCGAACCCCATGGCTGAACCTGACACACATGAGTATGAGCCAACTTCACCGGCACACTCAAGCTTTGCACCTACGAGCCCGAGAGCACCTACCGTTGGAAGTGCTGACGTCAAGGTCCCTATCCAGAGCACCAACTGTGGCTGAACCAAGTGAAGAGCCGATGATTCCATCTGGTCGTGAGACACCTCACCAACCAACCGACGCACCTCCGACCCGGCTCCAGATCCAATGTCTTGGACCCTACCACGGCATCCCTGTACAAGACAGTCGATGCAGAGACCGCCAGTCGCAGGCCCAGATTCAATCGGCAGGAGACTCTCAGTTTCGGTCCACTCCAGCGTATGAACTGCCCGCAACACCATCGGCAGAACCTGAATCAGCTGCTGAGCAGCGCCGATCCTGATCTTCCCTCAGCTGACCGAGCACCTGAGCATGCACTCCTGAATCATGCATTCCAGGTCACTGAATCACTGAACTACAAGCCCATGGACTACCACAAGGATGGTCGTTCCACGACGGCTACTTCCACCTGGACAAGCGACCTCGACTGGGAAGTCAAAGCTGGCTGCTTCATTCGATATTGTCTTGTGCCTCGACGACACAAAATGTGCCTGCACGATCTGCCAAGGGACAGCCCCTTCAGCTCTGCTCAACTTGACCAGATTCGAGTCACCGTGATGTACGACCACAATGGCAAGAGCCAACAACTGACAGATGATGGCACAGATTCTCATCCAATGGATCGTACCTGGACAGGCCTCAGCATCTTCCAGATCAAGGGCGATCTCCGCCGTGAAATGACCATGTATGCCAAAGCCCCTCTACAAGGAGCACGTCAGTTGGGGAAGACCGCAAAGATGCAGCATGCCAAGACCTTCAAGAAGGACAGAATAAGAGCAACCTCACTGACACCGGACGAGCGTGCCCAGTTCAAGGCCGCCAAAGTCAAGGAGTTGCAGAGCCTCTTCGACAACCAAGTGTGGCAGTTTGAGACCACGCGTCGAGCCAAGCCGGACTTTGACAAGTCGCATGTTGCTGAAGTAGTCGAAGAACCCTGATGGCAGTCCCAGGGCGAAGGCCGAAGGCCCGCTTGATCGTCAGAGGATTCCAAGATCCTGATGCTTGGGAAGGCACCGTGCCTACTTCCTCGCCTACCACGACTCGTTTGTCAAGGTCCATGCTGCTGAGTTTGGCTTCGACCATGAGCTGGCCGATCTGGACATCTGACAACCAGAATGCTGTTGTTGAAGCCTTGCTATGGTCAAATAGCTCCAAGAGCCTGGTATCTGGCCGCCGTGGACAAGTTGAAATCCATGGGATTGAAGCAACATCCCCAAGATCCTTGCTGTTTCCTCATGTATGAGGGCGAGCTCAACTCTGAGTTTGATCCTGCAGCTTACGCACCGCACCTGCTAGGCCCTCACGGTCTCTGTGGCATGGTGATCATGCACGTGGATGATATGCTTGGATGTGGCTCCACCGCCTCACAATGCTACAACGACACCATTGCCAAGCTCAAAAGCTCATCCACCTTCCGTGAATGGAAGACAGGAGAAGATGGCAAGCCTTTGACATACTGCGGCTGCGATATACACCTCAATGAGGACGGCAGCTACATGCTCAACCAAAAGAGCTACCTTGGCAAGGTGAAGCGCATCTCCTTTGACCGCAAGCGCAACCTCATCGACCCCTTCAATGAGAGAGAGCTCACTCAGCTGCGTGGTTTGCTGGGTTCCTTGCAGTGGCCAGCAGTGCAGTCAAGTCCTCATTTACAGAGCAGCGCCTCCATTTTGAGTGGTCATGTCACCAAGGCCCGTTTGCAAACGGTGTCCGGCACCAACCGACTCCTACGGTTTGCCAAGGAACATGCTGATGTTGGGTCGCACTATGCTCACCTGGGCCCCGTCGATGACCTAAGGATGGTATGTTTCTCTGACGCTGCCTTTGCCACCAGGAGTGATGGTTCATCGCAAGCTGGCTATGTTATCATGTTGTTGCACAAGGGCCTGCTGGAGACCAATGGTCCCGAGGGTGCCTACCACATCCTCGACTGGCGCAGCATGAAGACTCCGAGAATAGCCGGGTCATCTCTTGGCGCTGAAGCTCAGAGCGGAGGACAAGCTTGTGATGCCCTCGAACATGCCAGCGTCTACTGGAGCCTGCTCATGGACCCACGCCAGAGCTTGCAGCATGTGTCCTTGTCCCCTGTCATGGTCACAGACGCCAAAGCCTTATTGACGCCTACCACCGAGAAGGAGTCTCCAGCTCCGTGGTCGAAAAGAGAGCGTCGTTGGAAATCACAGGGTCATGAAGGATCGCCTCAGCGCTTTGGGCGGCAATCTTCGATGGATGTCTTCGGAACGTCAGATCGCAGACGGCCTGACCAAGGAATCTGCTCGGCTCCTACTGGCTCAACGCCTTCGACATGGTCGCCTCAAGCTGGTATGGGATCCCTCGTACAAAGCTGCCAAGAAGAAAACCAAGGAAGAACTGCAGCAGAGCCGCTTGGAAAGCGTTCAAGAGGACCCCAAAATCCAACCAGACATGGAGCACCATGAGCCTCCAGACGGCCTGGAGCCCTGTGAGCCTGAAGGCTTCGAGATCAAAGTGGATGAGCACGTGTCTGCCGAAGACCAGGACACACCGAATGAACAGGTGCATGAGAATGTGTGCCCGCACCGACGACACCATTGTGTATGTCAACCGTAGTTCCTGCCACGTCGTGCCCAGCCACCTGGTCGAGCCCTTCTCGGGTCGCATGAAGTACATCTTCCAGCTCCTCTGCTTGTTTTGGCTGATACCCCACTTGGCCGTTGGAGGAGAACCTACTGAAGAAAAGAAGGAAGAGTTTGATATTTTTGGAATGGTTTTGTTTACAGGATTCATCATGGTCTTGAGCGCCGTTGGTCTTGCCTGCCTGGACGCCCCACTGTAACGGAAGTTGGCCTGCAGAAGGATGAAATGAACCGGTGGTCCATTCCCGCCTTTCGAGAAGAGCTGGCCAGAACGCAGGAAGAAGCGTCCTTGTGGCGCAATCGCGCTGTGGAGTTTCGCTCGTCTGCTTCAGAAAGTCGAGCTGCCGCTGACATGGTATTGGCGTACCAGTGCGCGGCCGAGAACCTGCTGAGTGAAGCCTCAGACCTCCTCCGCCAATGTCTGAGACAGATGGACGAGCATTCCAATGACTGCCCCTTCTGCCAGCAGATTTGGATGACTCGCCATGGGCAGCGATGGCATGCCTCACCGGAGCGCTCCTCTTTGGCTGGCAGGGACAGAACGTCCTTTAGGATGGTTGAGCGCTGTCATTTGCGCAGCATTAGGATGTTGCCTCCCGATCACATTGATCAGAGAGCTGGCTCGATGAATACCAGCAACGCCTCATGGAGTAAAATGCTCCCTGTGTGAAGTGTACGCTGTACACTTGAGGTGTGATGTTTTCCTTTCGCTTCGCAACCCTACCTCTCAAGACTTGGGAGGGCGCAAGTTAGAAAAGGCGCGGCCGTGGAGGTTCACACCTCCGTGTTTTTCCATTTGCTCGTCACGGACTTCGTTCGCCGTGCTCGACAAGTTCACATATATATATATATATAATCATTTATATCAAATCCTTTTGAGGTTTGGGTGTTTCGGCCAAACTCTTTACGACTTCAGCGGGCTTCATGGAAGCATGATTGGCACGTGCCCCAGTCCCAAACAAGGTCCTTCAGTGATGACAAGTCGATCAGTGATAGGTAGGACGCGCGTTGTCTTTGTCTCACATTTCATGCTGTGCCGCAACACCCCACCTTTCAGGATAATCTCCGCTTGACTGGCTTGGTTGCCATGCCTGGCCTTCCTGACAGGATGCGATAAAGCAACCAGCTGATGAAAAACAGGACGCAAGCGACCCAAACAAATCTTTTGGTCTGCCGTGGCCAAGCTACCCTTCTTCCACTCTCTTTGTTGCCTGGTCCATTCCACGAGCGGCTCACGCACCAAACATGGAGAGAAAAGCCGGCCTCCTTCTGCTCGTTCTTGCAGCTGTCCATTTAGGTGTTCTCTTCCACTGTTCCCTCTGTTCCCTTCTTTCCCTCCCTTCCCTGCTTTCCCTCGTTTCCATTTTTCTTTCCTTGGACACCCTTTTCCTCCCACTTTTCTCCATTTTCTTCCCGTTCCTTCTGCGCCACCGTTGCTTTCCCGGCCCTTCTCCGTCTGACCTACATCTCGTCCTCGCTTTTTGCAACTTCGATCCGCAGCTCCACGAACTCCTTGCCCTTTCCCTCTCTGTTTGCTGTTTCCCTTCTCCGCTTTCAAACCTTTGCGCGCAGCTTTCAGATGCTGCTGGGAACCTTTGCTTCTGCCCTGCACATTCGAGTCGACTCAGAGACCTTGCTCTGCACAATTGGCTGAGGCCCCAGGTCCAAGACCCAAACCTTGGCCTTGCGTTCAGGCGTGGGCAATCCATCCTTGGGGCGCACAACGCCAGATAGCAACCGTCAAAAGACAAGGCTGCATTGCACTTCATGATGGGCATGCATGGACAACCTTAAATGCTGAATGTTAATGCCATGGGAGGCTCTTCGGCTCCTGCAGAGTCGAACGAATTGAGGAAGCCATCGACCACCTGCCATGGTAGCGCTCGAAGGGCGAAGGACCAGCGGCATAAGTATCAACGCAAAAGACACATAAAGTGATCAAAAACATCAAAAGGTCACAAAGAAGAAGTGCCAAAAGATCCAGCAGAAGAGGCACAAATAATGGCAGGAGTAAAAGCTATTGTGCTAGCGCAGTCAGAGAAGTGGTAGTGGATAGCAGTAGTTTGTTTCTGCTGCAACTCAAAGAGCAGTAGCTATCGTGTGGGACCGGAAGACGTAGTAATTAAGAAAAACTGTAGTGGTATTAATCCTCGAAGTCGTGAAGTGGAACCCATCCAGGATTAAAACTGTATAATATAGCTAGCTATATATAGACCAACACGTATATATATATATATATATGTTTGTTCTGCGCGCGCGCGTCACCAAGAACATCTGGAGATCTATCAAGGGGCCACAGGGAAGGGGGGTTGCTTGCCCTTGGCTCTGGTTGTCTTGACTCTGTGAAAGGGGCGGGGGATCAACAAAAACAAAAATGAATCAACAACTAAAAATGAACGGATCCAAACGTGCAGAGGGAAGAGCAATATTCCCCCGGGCGAGGGATCAAAAAACACACACAAATGAGTACAATACAACAAACCATATTTCAGGGGATCAAGAAAAATGAATCTCAAAAAATATACGGATCCAAACGTGCGGAGTGAAGAGCAATATTCCATTCGAAGCAGTGATCAAAAACTCTAACAAAGCCACGAAAAGCCAAAATCCACGGCCACAAAAAAACAAGTCTAGAAAGCTATACCCCGAAACGATTTCTACCCTCGCGTGGGTTCAGCGTGCTTGGCTTAGGCTTAGGCCTTCACTTCTTTAGGGTGTCTTTGGGCCTGGCGTAAGTTTCTAGGGATTGGCTGTCAACCTGGCCCCCAAAAAAGGCTTGCGGGTTACGCTTCCTTCCTCTGCGGGGCGACAGGCCCTTGAATTAAAGTGGACCACTACGTTTTGAAAGGGGCGTGACACACTTGCGTAATTCTTCTGGGGCCACCTCTTCTCATTGCCCGTTTTGCCCAGCACACGCCCCACGATGAGGGGAATTGAGCTCAAAAATCCCATGAAAGCCTTCAAGGCTACCCAACATCCAGTGACCCAGGCGTGCTCACCCGCAGCAATGCGTGTGACAGCACCATTGACTTTTATTTCACTGCCGCTGGCCAGTCAGGACTGCAACTACATAGCGCCGCAACACTCGCCGCAACCATACGTCTTGGCAGGGAAGCTTCACCGCAACGAAGATTCTCTGAAGGGAGCGCACTCGCAAAAGCCAGCCTTCCTGACATTGCATATGGACCAAATCCCTTGCCCAAAGATCGAGGCTGTTGCCAGCATCAACTGGCCACGTTCTGTGGGAAGATCGGCTATCTGCCTGTTGGCCGAGATATACCCCAATGAGACAACTGGATCCTAAGTCTACGCGGTGAGACACGCCGCAACTTCAAAACCATAGAGCCTGCATCTATTACACGCCACGTTGGTCTGCAAAACAAGGTTTGCTGAATACCCCTCAGGCGAGCGCTATTGTTTCCACCTCAGTCATCGAACTGCTCGTCGACGTTTGCAGTCGACTGGTCCAACTGATTGGTTAGAAGGAATTCCGTCCTTCAACTGCAAGCGCAATTCCGGAAGCGCTTTTCGCGTGTGCTATTTCTGGCGCGTGATCTGAGTCCGCGCAGACTCGCACGCAGTTGCTCTTGTGGATCTCTGACGTGACCCTCTAAGACAAACGTCTCTCATCAGCAAGACTCCCCTGACCCTGGGCCAACCTCTTTGCGATTCCCCTGGCTGCCTTCATCAAATCAGTCTGCAAAGTCTAGCTGCCCAGAGAGTATTCATCAAGATCTTTGAGGCGCATTCTGCTAATTGGCCTTTCCCTCGAACCACTGTTCGGACAGTGCACGTTCTGGAACATAGAGCGTGGCAGCCTTCTTTAGCTTTTGCTTAGCGAGGGCTTCATACGCTTTCACGATTTAAAAGAACACTATTGAAGTTTGAAGTACCACGTTTCATTCCGGATTGTTTCACGCTCCCTGCCCAGCGTACAGTCTACTCGACTAGGTTGATCAAACTCCAAATTTGGCGACAATGTCTGCCAAAACTTTGCACGCTCTGACAAAGGCCGTGAAGACCGTGTCGTCTACATACAAAGTCGTTGGCAGCTTTGTTTCTGGGAACAAAAACCTGCCTTGAGTCATCCATATATGCATATATGAACCCCACCGATGGAACTCATGATGTCCTTAAACCATCTGTCCCTGGGTAAGAGGGATTTCAAAAGCAAGCTACCAGAGTTAACGTCTAGTCTTCCGATGAAGTAGCCCCTAGCGATGGTCTCATTAGGCCCAAGGCAAAGGGTGAAAACATCAACATTGGCAAGTTCATGACACCCTGGTCAATAAACCCTAGAGCTAAGGCAGTGTTCAGAGGAAACGACATCAGAAACGCAGACAACGCTTGCAGCACTTCCGAAAGCAAAATTTGGCAATGCTAGCGGCTATAGCGTGCAAAGGGATGTCGCAAGAGCGCCCACTTGGGCCAAAGCAAGAGCTGACTCCTGGTCTCACCTTGGCGATCTCTTGGTCCGCTGAAACCTTGTAACATTCAACTGGTTCAGAATTTGGTTTTGCACCTGGTGAGCAAGGCTAACAGATTGACTGGACCTTCTACTTGCGGCCTGCTCTATCCCCTGCGACGCCGGCGCTATTTCTCCGGACATCATTGATAGTGACGGGAGAGTTTCTCCAAGTCCGTCGCACGCTCTGCCAGAAAGGGCCGTTCAGCGCGTGGCTTCCTCCTCAATTTGATGTGCGCCTGATGGATCTTTAGATCAACTTTGACTTTGTCTTGAACTTCACCAACCAGCAATATACAACAATGCAACACTCTGCCATGCCATTGCCAGTTTCCTTGTAACCCCTTCTCTCTTACAGGTCGCAAATACAGCTTGAAGCAAGTCCTCACTGCGAATCTCATATATCTGATTGCAAGCCGTCACAAATTATTCCAAGCTCGTGGATGAAGATTCGATACGGCTCAACATATAAAACAACAATGAGCCCGTCGAGAAGAAGATGAAGAAGGATAATCCGCCGACGTCCCTGTACGTGCGAAGCTCCAGACTCTACAAGTTCGCTACTCGTTTGACCCTGTGGTCGGGGATATGCTAAAGCTTGATCTGGCAGCAAGAACTGATCCGGCCTCAACGGCTGATGCACTGGTGGGGCGGGGCTTTCATCAGCTTTAGGCGCTGCAGGCCCTGCTACAAAGCACCCTTCTTCCGAGCTAAAAACAGCTTCCCACCCAAGACCGCCCTGCAAAGCACAAAAAGATATTTGCCACTGCGTTGCCCTCTTTCGAGACTTTCCGTCGAATCCCAGCTTTTGCTTGTAGCCCCTGCGACCTCCTCGAGACGGGCACGCGAAACGCCAGAGAGCGTCCCCGATTAGCTCGACTGGCTCTTCCGAGGTGTCCCAATAGGAGGTAATGGCTACAGCCCGCAGGGAGACCTACGGCTGATAACCAGAAAATTGTAAGATGACACGCCCTGAACCGTCTGCGCGCAGGCACTCCTTTGTGACTTGAGCCAAATTGGTCAGTTCATGCAACTGGATTTCTGCGGGATCCCTTGAGGATGCAACCCTGAAAGCTTACTACCAAGTGAAACCGAATGGACATGCATTTGGGGTGCCTTCATGCGTACACTTCTTCTTGATGAAAATGATCGTGATGAAAACGTTGGTGGCGACGTATTGATAAAAAGGATAGTGAGGAAAATTATAGTGATCAACATGTATTGATGAAGGCGATGTTGATGAAAATAGAGTTCGACCCTGGCCCTCTTGATACAGCTCTAGGGACAACACCGTGCATTTACACATGCCCTTTATATATTCTTGTGAGGAAGACTGCTCATGACCAACAACAAACCTCGGATAGCAAGTCTTGATGTGGATCTGGCCGATCATCAAAAGAATGCTTTCGCCCCTGGCAGGACCGCCGCATTCAGCATTCAAATCTTTTCAGGACTGACCATGGTGCATAAACCTTTCGGTGGCCTTGCTCCCAGATCGCATCTCCACGGTCTCATTGAGAAACTCTATGGATCTCATCTCCATTGCTGTCTCTGCACCTGCAGGGGGTGAAGAGACAAATTAAAAATACCAAAAACTTGAGGGCTAATGACACAGGAATTTGCTGGGCTGGTGCCATAGGAGTTGTGGGCCACAGCATTTGCAGTACGTCATCAGTCTGCAAACAACGTTCTGCTACATAACCCCAAAAAAGTATAAGTCAACATATATGTATATATAAATAGAATTAAATAGAATAGAATACCGTGCCCAAGGAGGAGAACATATGACTGATGAAAGCTTCATGGCTCAGGCGCGCTCCTTGAGTTTTCGACTGGAAAAACTATGTTGCCGGTGCGGAACATAACCAATCGCTTTCCTATCTCATCCCCTAGTTGTCACATGCTGTGTTGGTGGCATTCATACTCCTAGGTCATGTGCGGTTTAATGTCAAAACCTCCTCAAACCATGCAACCTCAAACATTTACAGTATGAAACGAAACAAGTGTCTGTGTGTGTGTGCCAGGGTCATTTCTGTATGTTTTGACCTGATGAGATCGGAGGTGTGGCATAGGCCCTTTCCTGATGACATAGGTTCTTTCCCACCTATCGTTTCACAGGTCCTATCCTATCTCTTTCTTTCAGTATATTGAGATTCTCGTTTGCAGAAGAGTTGCATCTCTCATCCTCAAATCGCGCAAAGCCAAACTTGAGTCCACGATCCAGGTGCACGTGCGTGACCTGATTGACTGTCCACATTCCCTTCTTCGGAACCTTCGAGGTCGTACGAGGAAATTTTGGCAAGAAGCTTTTCCGAAGGCAAGCTCTAGGGCCTCCTTGATTTCGTACCTGGTGTCATGTGGGAGGCACGCATCACTCGGGCCATCCTGTGATAATACATAGGTTCAGCGCAACAACATGCAACGCCCATATGCTTCTGTGGAGCTTCGATAGCAAAGAGCTCGGCAACGGGCTCATGTAGATCGTGTTTTCATCACGCCTTTGGACTTCTGCAATTGGTGGTCACTTAGCTGCGCACACACACACACAAACAAAATTGACGAGAATCGGTATGAAGCCATCACTAAACCGTTGTCGCTCTCTTCTGGAATCACCTTGGCAATTCAACATACGATGAAGCGTCACAAATTCCGGTGATTATATACATTGATTGTCAATGTGACTAGTCAAACACGTGGAAACTTGCTTCGAAGGAACCCGTGTGCGCAGCCAACCGCTTCAATTGCTTGTCTCTTTGCTTCGGACTGATCCTTCAGTCCACAGGTCATCTAACGCCAACAAAACACAGTTGAAAGCTGCATGCACAACTGCTTGTCACAGTATTGGGAACCAATAGGAGGTAAATCCCACGCACTGATGCGCTTGCTCGAAAGTCTTCAAAAAAATTGTTTCCAAGGAGATGTGCACGATCATTCCACCATGCTCGTGTTTACCAAAAATCCTCCCTGTCCAGAGTTAAGTCATGCGTACTGGCAGCCCCACCGGTTCGCGCACCGGTGCAAGAAAAAGGGATGGCAACCAGTGTGTGCCCAATTTTTGCAGTAGCAACCATTACAAATCTTTGCAGTAGTTTCTTGCAGTCTGATTGAAGAATGCTCACCATGTTCAATCAGAGCCAACAGCCCTCTTCACTTCACCTTGCTGCTACGGAAAGTATACATAATGACCAAAAAAACATACAGCGACCCCTGGCCGGCTCCTGTATTCATATTGTCACGCACACCCCAAAAAACACAACACACACACCCATTATATATTTTCTTTTGTCGACTGAGTGCTTCCCATCATGGCGCAGCTTTCTGGGACCAAGTATGACTTGTAAGTCATTGTGCCAAGGGCCCAGGGCCAAACTCTACCCGGTTATATAGTGGGCTAGTTGAATGGCTCTGAAGGGCGTTGGACAATTGAACTGGGTTTCAATCACGGCAACCTCGGCCAGTTGCATGCATGATACACTTCACCACACTTCCCCGCAATGTATGCTTATGAGAGGAACTCTGCAGTTCTTTGATGTTTCTCTGTCTAAGGAAACGTTGCATCAAAGAACGTTGCAATATAGGTCGCCGGCAAAACTGACACAGCCGAGTGAAACAGTTTTCCGTTTGATATCGGTTTGGTGGCTTGCATGTTCTTGCAAGCCAGTCCAAAGTACACACCTGCGTCTGTGTGTTTACACGTATGCGTCGATGTATGTGTGTATGTATGTATGTATGTATGTAAGTGTGTGTAAAGTGAAAGGAAGTAAAGTAAAGTAATGTAGCGTAATGTTGAGCAGTATGTATGTATGTATGTCTGTCTGTCTGTCTCTGTCTCTGTCTCTGTCTCTGTCTGTCTCTGTCTCTGTCTGTCTGTCTCTGTCTGTCTCTGCCTCTGTCTGTCTTTGTCTCTGTCTGTCTGTGTCTCTGTCTGTCTCTGTCTCTGTCTGTCTTTGTCTCTGTCTGTCTGTGTCTCTGTCTGTCTGTGTCTCTGTCTGTCTGTGTCTGTCTGTCTGTGTCTCTGTCTGTCTGTCTCTCTGTCTGTCTGTCTCTCTGTCTGTCTGTCTCTGTCTGTCCTCTGTCTGTCTGTCTCTGTCTCTGTCTGTCTGTCTCTGTCTCTGTCTGTCTCTGTCTGTGTCTGTCTCGGTCTGCCTCGGTCTGTCTGTGTCTGTCTGTGTCTGTCTCGGTCTGTCTCGGTCTGTCTCGGTCTGAATCGGTCTGAATCGGTCTGTCTCGGTCTGTCTCGGTCTGTCTCTGTCTGTCTCTGTCTGTCTCTGTCTGTCTCTGTCTGTC